GTTCCAGTGACTTGAAGGCACTATGGCTCCTTCCAATGCTACTATTCTATGATTCTAGACTGTGGAGGTACCCCCATTGACCCCTTCCTGATCCTCAAGTCTACCGTGCTGCTGAATCAACTACCCTAGTGCGCTTAACTGGGAGAGGCTAACCCCCGCCCACCCCCAGTATTCACCCAGGTTTCAGTGCCAGATCAGTCACTCATCCACTAATAAATCATGGATGAGAGACATCTAATTCTGGACTGGTCTGGCATTTAAAAGCACCATCCAGAAACCAGAGGGCAGGCTGATAAGGTTAGCACCAAACCTGCAGATATGAGGAGGACCAAAACACAACACAGTTGTTGGCCACATTCTCCTTACCTTGGTATCCCTCCTCCCAACATCACAACTCTTTCTACACTAATTGGGATTCCCACAGGTTCCCCTGCTTGACCCCATGTTTTGTTTCCTAGGCACATATTCAGGCCCCATGAAAGGGAAAAAATGCAATCCCCCCACCAAGTACTCTGAGTAACCCAGTTTGGAAAAGGGGTGGGTCCTTGCATTTGTGTCACCAACTCAAAGGTATAAAAGTGCAATGTAATAAACGTTGGTTTCTGATTAGGAAATTCCTGACAGACGCATACTGTGCTCTGTTCCAAGGCAGAGAATCGAGCAAATCATGGATTCACATCCCCACCCACCACAAAACTGAAATTTGGGCTCCTTGGTGCACACAGTCCTTAGCAGACCTTCTTACCTGAATTGCTTGGTGTCAGCAATAAAATGCCTCTCTGAATAAGTGGGGCTGAACTCCTGGCTGATTTCACCTGAAGGAAATCAAAGAAGGCCAATACAAGCCAGAGTGAGACCAAATCCAACCATCACACTCATGTATAGTAGACCAGACTTGCTACAGCAAAGAGCAATGCAGGACATAGTTCCTAAAAGACTCAAGAGGGACTGTGAGCATCCAGCAAAGGAGGGGAAAAATCCAATTCCACACGAAAATTTAAGGTGCTTGCTCTAACATATAAAGCCCTAAATGAAGGACTGCCTGCTTCCATATATACCTACTGAGCCCCTAAGATCAGTTTTGGAGGCCCTCCTGAAAGAGCCATCCTCCAAGGAGGTATGGAAGATGGCTAACAGAAGAAGGGCCTTTTCAGTAGTTGTGCCCCATTTGTGGAACAGCCTCCCAAAAGCAGTTTGCCTTGTGCCCCTGTTACAATCTGTTCAGTGCCATGCAAAAACAACTCTATTCTCTAGGCATTTTAATAATTGATTTCATCTTGATGGTTTTAAATCAATTGCCCTCAGCTGTGTATTGTTTTGCTTTATTGTCTCTGCTTTTGTATTTTAACCATTTGCTTTTATTGTCAACATCAGGATGTGCTTTTAATTGTTTGTAATCCACTTACAGGGCCCTCAGGCCAAGTTAGTGGAAAATAAGTTAAATACATACACACATATGTACATACATACATACATAAAAATATGAAAGCCAGAATCCAAAGAACTGTTTGGGTGGTTTCAAATACCCAGTGGAATTTTTGGTCATGTTTCTTGAAGCACACAGAACATTGCAAGCTGCTTCTGAACCTGGTGGGGGAGATTCAAAAGCAGCCTACAGTGTGACAGTGTGACAAAGGCTGTAGAAATTCTAAAGTTTTCTATCCACAGGGTTCTCTTGAAAATGACTGGGGCAAACCAATCACAAAAGGAAAATGCAGGGCTGGAATCAGTCACAAAATGGTGACAGACAGAATGGAATATGGTATTTTTAGCTAGCACATGCTAAAATAACTTTATAGTAATACCTAATCCCTCTTTGGAAATTTGTAACATTCTTTGCCACAGTTATTGCCTTGTACCATAGCTCAGTTTTCCTCTACTAAAGTGCAGACCTTGCTTCTGGTAGGATCATTACTCTACCTCCTCATTTCAGGCAGAATTTGTTTATCTAGAGAATCTACATAGGATTTTTTTTTTCATTTTATATTGTTTCCACCTCCCCACCCCACATGCCTCCCACAGCATTCTTACCCCTCCCTGTCATTATGCTCCCCTTCTCCTTTCACACTAAATCTGTAACCTGTCTCGAATTGCCAGTCCCTCTCTCCTGCTCCTTTCATATTCATTTCCTCCTATAATACCTTCCCTCTATTCTTCTTTATTCCTAGTTTTTAAGGATTACTGTTTACAAATATTGGCCTTGCTCTTTAAGTAACTTTCACTACTACACTTTCCTAGGCATTGTGCATTGGTATGGCCTTAGCAAACAGCGGCCAAGACCAGAGGCACTGAGCAGGTTAAAGCCCTGAGATCCACCTGAATGTCAACTGAGAGTACTATAGAAGGGGTACAAGGAGAAAAACACTCCAGCTTCTTGGGCAGACCTAAAGTAGCTCTGTTCCATGTATTTCTACTACTTGAATTATCCTTCCTAAGTGTCTGGAATGCTTCTGCGAGGACTAAGTTGGTGGATGGCACAGAGAGAGGAAGCACCAGAAAATGTGGGAAAGGAGATGGAGTGAGAAGCAAAACAGCATTCATGGAGTACATCTACAAGTTTAGCTATCAAGGATTCCCATCAACTGGACTAATGGGGACTGCAGGTTTCACTGTCCACAATCTGATTTTACCCCTCCCTCCCTCTCACATGCACACACAGTCAGAATAGTATCACACCCAACTTACATTCTGCCTGGGCAATGATGGAGATTGAGGCTAAGCTCTCTTTCTCACTGTCTTCCTTGGCAGTTCCTTTAGCGATCACATCACTCAGGATCTTCCATGGTCCCTGTAACACATGTTTGTCTGGAACCTCTACCTTGCACACACAGCTCTTCTTTTCACTTGTTAGATCCTGGGGCGCTTTGCCCAGAAGCTCCTTTGGGTGCCTGATGGTTGGGACTGGAGTTTCTTGGCAAGCAATTTCCATCACTGCCATCTCCTAATTTCGTCAAGGAGCTGAAAGACAAATCCCCAAAAAGAAGCATTAATTTTTTCATTTTCAATAATCTGTTCTGACATAACTTCCAGATATTGGAAGCCACTCTCCTTTTCACTAGACCTTATAAAGTAAATGGTTTTTGTTTTGCTTTGTTTTTTGCTAAAGTGGCAGCAAAAAAGACACAACCAATCCATAAACTTACGACAGTGCAGATGTGAAATATGCCCACAGAAGACCATAAAGACATCCAGAATTTTAGTACTGTTGGGTTTGGACAACAATGTGTGGTCCTTCTCCACTGCCATCACACATAATTGGCAGGGGCAATGGCAGGATTGTTCACAGTAAACAGAGTAATAGTACTAGATCAAGCCCATTCTGGAGGATGTTTAATCCTTAAACAACTACCACCATCCCAGCCTAGATGACACAACAAGCTACATGTGGGGCTTGAATAGGCAACCTGGTACCTGCTAGCACTGTAGCTCATCATAATTTAAGTAAGTCACAGTAGATTGTGGTGCTTGAACAAACCAGGTCGCTGAGATGAGTTAAGCTGAGTTCTTGCTGAAATGAACTTCCAAAAACATATGCCAAACACATTTAGCTTTTAGAGCTCTTTGACAATGTCAAAAAACGTGTGGACCAACACAATTTGGTAAATATTGTTTACCTCTGGATTTCATAAGATCTCTAGGTGGTTTACATAAAATATAATGTGAAATGTAAAGCTAATACTAAATACATTAGAATGTTACAGAAACAATACAAAATAACAAAAATAGTAAAACAGCAATATAAGACTTTTGATAAAGCCTTCATCAACGTCTTTTGAACACCCTTAGGAGTAATGTAATAAGAGGAGAAGTCCTTTTATGGATTGGTAACTTGTTAAGGGAAAAAAAGCAGACCACAGGAACAAATTGTCCATTCCTATGAAGAGCGATGTGAACAGCAGGGTCCCACACAGAACCGGTGTTTTTAACTTGTTCATAAAGATCTGGAATTAGATGTGAGGATGATGTGTGGTGGAAGATTTCCCAATACTATATTTTTCCATGGTAATTTTTCCACATCATGTACCTTTATCCATAACTATTTGGGCTCTTGTACTGCAATTAATCATTTTAGAGGGGCTAAATATAGAATATAAACTTCTGGAAGTTATGCTAAGACAAGTAAATAGCTGCTTAAGACAATGGTACCAAAGAGAGAAATTTGGTTTCTGGGATCAAAAGATAAACTTGGATGAAGGATGGGCAAACCATGAGCTGCATCTCTCAAAGTATGGTAAACAAGACCTTGGACACAAAATGAAGACCCTCATTAGAAGGGCTTTAAACTAAATCACAGGGGAAGGAGACATACAGAAGGGCACTATGAGTACAAGAAATGAAATAAGCCCCACAACAGATAAAAAACCTGTAATATGAACTAATAACAGCATACCAAGAAACATTAACAAAAACAGGTTATAACCCTAGTGAATGGCAATGTTTCCACACCAATGCCCAGAGTATGGATAATAAACAACATGAACTTGAGCTCCAAGTACATGAGGCAACTACAATCTTGTGACAATTACTGAAATGTGGTGGGAAGATTCTCACAGTTGGAGTTCAAAAATACTTGGGCACAAACTCTTCAAGAAAAATAGAAGGAATAAAAGGGGAGAAGGAGTCACACTATACATTAAAAATACTTATAACTGCAATGAATTACAGGAGAACAAGTCAAGTTGTCACAATGAGAGCATTTGGGTCAACCTAAGAGGACCAAAAACAATAGCAACATAGCCATTGGCATCTACTGCTACCCACCAAATCAAAGAAAAGACAAAGACATTATCTTAAAAAAAAAAAAAGTAACCAGTGTGACAACAAAACTTGATGTGGTCATCATGGGTAATTTCATCTTCCCTGAAATTTGCTAGGAGACACATTCAGCCAAAAATGGTCCCTCCAAGATATTCCTCAAATGTGTAGCTGTTAAGTTCCTCCAGCAGAAAGTTGAGGAAAGGAGCAGGGGAACAGCAACAATAGACTTAATACTAGCCAACAAAGATGATCTAGTATTTAGAATAGCAACCACACCATCCATGAATTCTATTTTAAGAGGATGGCAAATGTCTGTTGTAGCCACACACATATCCTTGACTTAAAAAGGGCCAATTTTACGAAATACAGGTCAGTGAAATGCAAAATCCCCTGGTGATGCACCCTAAAGGAGAGAGGAGTCCATGCAGGATGCGAAATCTTTCAAAAAAGGGAATTCTTAGAGCATAAAAACAACTAATACCAACAGAACAAAATAATAGAAAACTACTCAAAAGAACCCCTCATGGCTCCACAAAAGGTTAGGGAACAATTTAAAAGCTAAGAAGAACATGTGCAGGAAGTGGAAAGAAGAATATAAGAAGAATATGAGAAGATAGCAAAATCTTGCAAGGAGCTATGAACTGAGATTAATGATGCATGCTAAAAATAATAAGAAAGCCTTCTACAACGACATACAAAACAGAAGACAAAAGAAAGGTGTACTCTCTTTGCTCATTAAGGACGGCAGAAAGATAACCGATGACAAGGAAAAGACAGAGGTGTGCAACTCCAACTTTGGCTCACATTCTCTCCCACAATGAAAATGTGACCTGCCTACAGAAGAGAAAATGCAAAACAAAAGGTAAGGATGCACCCTAAGATCAACAAACAAATGGTCAAGGAGCACTTTGAAGAGCTAGATGCATTCAAATTTCCAGGACCTAGAATATTAAAGGAACTGGCACAAGAGCTCTCTGAGCCACTATATACAATATTGGAGAAATCTTGGATAACAGGGGAAGTGCCAGACAACTGGAGAACAGCTGATGTGGGTCTCATCTACAAGAATGGGAAGACAGACAAACTGGGGAACTATAGACCAGTCAGTCTAACTTCAGTCCCTGAGAAATTACTGGAGCAAACCATGAAAAACAGTCTGTATGCATGTTGAAGAAAATGTAGTGATAAACAGAAGCCAACATGGATTTCTTAAGAATAAGTCATGCCAAACCAATCTAATATCATTCTTTGACTGGGTTACTACCCAAGTGGACAGAGGAAACACAGTGGGCATTATTTACTTAGACTTTAACAAAGTTTTTGACAAAGTGCTCCACAACATCCTAATAAATAAATTAGCAACATATGGGCTTGACAGAACTATTATTAAGTGGATCCACAACTGGCTTCAAATAGATCACAAAGAATGATAATCAATCATAGATTCTCAGCCTGAAGCTATGAGAGGGGTAACTGGGCTCAGTCCTGGGACCAGGACCAGTACTCTTCAACATCTTTATTAATGATCTTAATGAGGAAATCCATGGAATGATGATTAACTTTGCGGATGATACTATACTGGATGGAATTGCTAGCACCCTGGAAGACAAAAAGAAGATCCAGGGAGACCTAGACAAGCTTGAATACTGAGAGGAAAACAACATAATAAAAGGTCAACAGGGATAAATGCCAAGTTCTCCACCAGGTGCAATAAATAAATCAGCTGCATCAATACAAGATGGGGAATACTTGGCTCTACAATATTGAGAGTGAGAGGAACCTCAGAGTTGTTGTAGACAACAAGTTAAATATGAACCAGCAGTGTGATGCAGCCAAAAAAGGGAAACACACTTTTGGGATGCATAAATACAGGTATCAGTTCCAGAAATAGGAAAGTGCTCATTCCCCTCAACTCCACATTAGTCAGATCTCACCTGGAATACAGCATTCAGTTTTGAGCACCCAGGTTTAACAAGAATGCTGATAATCTGGAAAGGGTTCGGAGGAGGGCAACAAAGATCATACACGACCTGAAAAATAAGTCTTACTATCAGAAGCTGAAAGAACTGGGTCTGTTAAGCACTGAGAAAGGAAGACTACAAAATGACATGACAGCACTCTATAGGTATCTCAAAGGCTCTCACAAAAAAGGAGGAAAAGACCTATTGAACAATGAACTTAAATTACAGTACTTCAGGTGCCGGCTTGACACAAGAAAGAATTTCCTAACTATAACAGCAATACAACAGTGGAACCAGCTGCCCCTAGAGGTTGTGTGCTCTTCTACACTAGAGACATTCAAGAAGCAAATAGTTACCTGAGTCAGATGGTGTAACTGGCATCCAACACCAGCAGGGGGTTCTACTTGATGGTTCTCTTGACCCTTTGGACCTAACTATTCCATGATTCTATGAAGCCCTAGTGCTCAGCTGCCCTAAGAAAGCTGGAAATAAGATAGGAAAACTCCTTCCTTTGTACAATACAGTTAGCTCCAGAAGGGGTCTGGACCAGACTAGCACATGGTGCGTTAGCCCTCTATTGCTAACCTTCGCCAATAACAAAGTAAACGAAAACTGAAACCAAGGTTGTGAATAGTTTATTTCACTTTCCTCAGAATAGTGCCTCATTTTTTTCTCTTGAGCTTGAGAGGTTAGAAATCTTTGCATAAGATTTGTTAGCCATCTAGCATATGCAGTCATAAAGCCAAAACTCTAGAAGAAAAGTATGTGTCATCATTACAGTGAAAACCTTGAAAGAAGTGAGATGGGTGTGTGCAGTGAATGAACCACATTTGCTAATGACATCATATTGGATTGGTTAGCACAGAAAAGGAATGCAAAAAGCCACAAAAAGGTCTCTTTGGCAAGTGTATAAATTTGGAGGCGGCAGAAGGACATAGGCCTCAAAAAGGCAAAGGCAATTCTATGTGTGCAAGCATAAAGTGACTACACTGGGGCAAAAAATCCCACCTTCACATACACACTGATGGGATCTGACCAGGAAGTGACTGACCAAGAAAGAGATCTTGAGGGTGTGGCAGACAGTTCACCCAGCAAACCAGTGTTGAACTGCTATAAAAATGCAAATGCTGTATTGGGCATAATTAGGAAAATAATTAAACATGTAAATATCAATATACTTTGCTTAGACAAATCCATGGTAACACTATACTTAGAATACGGAATACTGTTCTGGTTACT